CAAAGACCGCCCGAGCAGCCGAACGTAGCTTTATCCCAGCCCTATCCCTAGCCAACATTAGAATTTGCAACATTACGGCGCCACACCCATTGATGGCGTCTCCGTGTTCGCAACCCCTTCCCCCTGGCCTCATAGTTATCCCCACCTTAATAGACTGTTCCAACACGCCCTTCATTAGAGTAGCCAACCTTTCGTCAGACGGCATCTTTCTAAAAAGATCACCACACACTCACACTACTACAATAGGATAAATTAATTTCAGAAATTTTAAATTTTCCTACCATAAAGGTTATCATCAGTTTTTAAAAAAAAAGCAGTTGAATTACTATTATAAAAAAAGCTGTTCTTTAGCACTCCCACATTTATTAGCTGGCTTGATTCATCGCGAGCGACATAAACAGTTTGGTGCCAATGGTTAACAAGCGCATTGACTCACTTTGCTAACACGCCAAAAGATGATGATAGCCCCATCAACCAGCTGCCATACCATCGGTGGAGTTTTTTGATGAGCTGAACTTCTTTTCGTTGTTTTAATAAGGCCTCCAGCAGGTGTGGTCCCTTTCATCTTATCAAAGGAAGCTGTTTGATAAAACAATAATTGACGTTTGAAGCACTGAAGTTAATGGCACTGGCAAACATACATTTATAGGAACTTAAACGTTTGAAGTTTTGAAAGTTACAATTCACATCATTTCTAGAAAATGGCAAAAAGTTTCCACGTATGAATACTCTGGTTGTAAAGATAAGATACGCGTCTTTAACTGTTTTATATATTAATGCTAATGTCTTTTGATTACAAAGAACATATACTTTTTCTTAACATTTTAATGAAAATAAGAAAATGTTTAATTTATAATAATTTAAACGTAACACATTTCAGCCGCCATGTCAGATCCAACATCCAGGAGTCTTACAAAATGTAAGATTGATGATTTCGTCTTTGTAACACTGGATGACAACCAGGTAAAAATTACATTACGTTTCGACTGAACGCCTTAATTATTAAACGCAACAATTTAAAGCAACAGAAGCAGGTAGAAAGGAAGACAGGCAGGTAGGTAGTTAGGTAAGGATGCAGGTACGGCTGTGGGATTGTTAGATGGACAGGCAAAGAGATAGACTGACAGACAGGCAGGCTGGTAAGAAAGTTGGTATATATGTAGATAGGAATATTTATAGATGGACTGAGACATGAGTGGTCGAGTTGGGATTTCACCCTGCGAAGACAGAGAGAAAGACAAACGGACGGGTAGGAAGGCACATAAAAAGACAGATACGTGCATTCGTAGGGCGAGTAGATAGATAGACGAACAGGGAGAAACACAGAAACATAGAGAGCCCTACAGACTCACAGATAAACAGGCGGGGCGCGGGGGGGGGGGTGGGGGCATCTATGTATTTTATAAGCAAAATAAAGTCACACTTTAGATGACCACTTTCCCCTACTATTTCTCGCGTACGTTTTTGGACAGCCCTACTACGCATACGTACAATGTGGTTTTGACACCCCCCCCCCTCCCCAATTAGCAAAAAAATACAAAACTTAGTGATCTAGGTTTTCACCTCTGTTTACGAGCACAGTGGTTCCTAAAACATGCGCTGCATCCCTATATGGTGCCATGTTGATTTTTGTGAGCGCCATGAGAAGGGGCACTCGCGACGGGCGCAAACATTTCTTGNTGTGGGGGGGGGGGGGGGAGGGGGAGAGCTCAATCGTCTATATGTACGATCCTAATGTTGAATGAAACTACACCATTCCATGTACTTACACAACAAAAATAAGGTGAGTCAAACAAATGATATTTTTACTCGTCAGACCCGAAAGTGATTTTTTTTTCTCTCAATAGAGGGGTGATATAATCAGGCCACCCTCTCCCGAGTTGCCGCGACTTTCCCACATTTAATATCCGTTATGTTACGTACAGTTTTAATACTACGTGACATCTAGCGGGCTTTTTCAAACAGTAGCTCACCGAGAATTATTGTCAACAGTTACTAGATTAAGCTTATTGTTGACATATGTAGTTGTTTTATGATTATTTTTTTAAAACCCAATCCTTTAATTTAATAACTTTTTAAAAAATATATTCGCCATTTTGAAGTGTGATTGTAAGTATTTAACACAGGGGGAGGGGGGGGCCCGGTGCAAACTTAAATTTTCCAATGACCCGGGGAATCGAAAATAATGGAACCACTGGCGAAGAGTTACAAAATTCGTTGCATAGCCTGCATAGCATTTATTGATCACTATTCATATTTAATCGGTCACATAAAATATGAAACTATTACAACCGCTGACTATTCGTCTTTAGAGATAGTTTTAATTAAATGTATATAAAAGGGTAATTCTTGTTAGAAGAGTGGTTCTCGAACCTTTTTCCGTCCACCGCCCCATTGGGGCCATAAGCCCATCTCGATCGCCCTCATCTTACCCAATTTTTATCATTCTCAGAATAATACAGTGTCCACTTTTTACTCGACATGGTTAATACAGCGTTTATAAAACAGAGTTTATATTTATATCAATTTCATTTTATTGCATTGAGTAAATATTTCCTTCAATAAGGGATGTTACGTGTAATGTCTTTGAGTTCGGCACAATGAGAAGCGCAAATTTTGTTTCTCGAAAAACCTCGACAACATTTTTAAATAACCTTCAAAAGTTATAAATGATATTCTTTTCTATTATTTTTAACGAATTCAATAATTACGAAGTGGAACATGTGAACATCTTCTCTCTTCTCAAGTCAGTCATTCAGTGCGTGGCGTTTACATATCTAATGACGAGGTTGTCTCCACTAACCTCCAGTTTTTGGTAACTAAATAAAATGTTTTAAGGGTAATGACAAAAGGATTGATTAAGACATTTAACACTTGTGTTCTAATTGATAAGCAACAAACCACAATTGTATGTATGTGGTGATCCACCCGGTGCAATGATATTCTACTAAGCAGACTGTCCCTGGCGTTTGAGGAAAAAACTACACAACAAAAAAAAAATATTGACAAACACACACCCCCCCCCCCTCAAACTTGTATCTGTTTCTAGCCGCCTTGCTAACTTCCAGGAAACAAATATTTATTATATGGTAGGTCAATTGGTCAATAGGTCAACTCCACCAGTTGTAATGCTAAGCAGACTGTCCCTGTCCCTGGCGTTTGAGGAAAAAACCACACAACAAAAAAAAAAAATTGACAAACCCCCCCCCCCCCCCCCCCTCAAACTTGTATCTGTTTCTAGCCGCCTTGCTAACTTCCAGGAAACAAATATTTATTATATGGTAGGTCAATTGGTCAATAGGTCAACTCCACCAGTTGTAATGCAAAACTGTTTGGCATGCTATAAAAATGATCTTAATAATTCCTGGTATTGTGTTCATGAAATAAGAACCTCTCTAATGGCTGTTGGGGTTATTTCTTCACCAATTGCTTGTTACCTTCCCAATTTATAACACGTTGCACTAACACTATCGATGCCTGTTTTGACGAGGAACCATACCCCACGCCCCTTTCCGCCCTGATGCATTGTTTGACAATAACCCATGTATTTCCAATTTTTTTTTAAATTTCAGAGGATATTTCGTACAACAGCCCAGCCTGAAGAGGGCCGAGCACACATGACTTTTTCGGGGATCAACCAGAATTTTCTTCAAATGCGATTGAGTGAACTCTAAAAATTCGCTCATACGAGTGCCGTTAAGCTGCACGAATTTGGGAGCATCGGTGCAAATGTCAAGTCTCTCTCTGATCCTCGTAAATTTTGCAATAAAGAATTCATTTAGATCGTCTGGCAGCTCGCCTACGGCAATGTTATTTGGCAAAGACGTGTCCTTCTGTTTACCGGTCAGCTAACCCAGAATACTAAACAAGTCCCTATAATATGGTGACTGACATATTTAGTCCTAGTTGCAAGGACTAACTTCTTAGTTAGTTCTTTTGCTACAGCAATGTCAACAAGGAAAAAAATGTCAGCCCAGTTGAGAAAGGGCTCTTCTTCCCCAAGAACAGTTATGATTTTTTGCGGCCAAAGCCAGGTTATATTGGAAGCCTCTAGTAGAGGACCTCCTTTCAAAGGCAATAATAATGTAAGAGACATGCATGAGCAAACAAAGTTTTAATGGAAAGGATATACCAGGAGCCTATTGCTGAAGACATCATAAGAAAAGGATGGAGGTGGATAGGGCATAATCTTCATAAACCCCAAGATTATATCATCAGAAAATCCTTAACCTGGGACCAACATGGAAAAAAGAAGAAAGGAACGCCAAAGAATACATGGAGACGCGAGCTAGAGACAGACACATAAAGTATGGGATTCACAGGGAAGCAACTGAAAAGGAAAGCACAAGACATAGATGCATGGAAAATTCGTGTAGATGCCAAGTGCTCATGGCATAAGAAAGCAATTAAGAAAGTAAGTACCCGGTTCTAGTTTCAGTATATTGGGTAAATGGGTGTAAAAGAATTGATGTATGTTACATATGGTATTTAAAATTTTTTATTGATAATATGTTTAAAGAAATAAACTTTACCTTAAAGCCAAATAGATACCATCTGCGACCAACTAGGACAAAAGAGATACCTGCAGAAAAACGTTGAACACATATTATTTAAGTTAAGAAGATATTTCTTTGATAAAACTGAGTGGAAATGTATGTTTTTATTGAAATATTTTGTAATATTCAGAACTCTGTTTCATTGACATGCGGCGTTGATAATAATAGTGCATACTTTTTTTTCAAAGATGAAACTCAAGAAGAAATGGTTTAGAAACTCAAGCGAAATATAAACCTCAAAATCCACAGTAATTAGAATTTGGGTTGGACTGATAAGCTAACTGGCATAGTACCAATTAATTAGTCTTGTTATATCAGACAATTTAATGGAGAAACTCAATCCTAGCTGGAGTTATACCAAAATGCTGATAGTTAAAATGAACATGTTTCAGTCCCAATTTCGTCAATACCTACAGACCAATGGCTTTTGCCCCAACTGAGAACTGCCACATCCAAATAACTGGCACTTAGTATGTCACGAGCTCCTGGTGCTCTGGCACCACTAGTGACAGCAGAATCCAGTTTCTGTTTGACGTAATCTTTGTCAACGGCAGAGGTCAGCTTCAGGAAGGCATACTTGTTGGAGTCGGGCAGGAAGGCCACCAGGGTGTCTTTCCGTCCACAGCGACAAGCCAGGCAGCCGTCATTATTCTTGAATAGTCATTGAACATGGATATAAGAAAAGCGATTTGTTTAAAATAACAATTTAAGATTTAAATTATTGTTTAATAAAATGATATAAAATAAAAACTACTTTTTGATAGTAATCATCTTTATTTAAAGCTTTCATAGTATTGAAACATGGTCCACAACATGGGAAAAAAAAACCAGTGTAAAATAAACAGAATCTTGTGATCACATGACATCTTATCAAATCATTTTTATTGGACTAGTTGATGTTGTAATAATATTTTTTTTAGTAAGTTGAAAGCACAATCCAATGTTTTGGAGACCAATGTGTTACATGATGTATCAACTTAAACATACCTTAATTAGACCAATGTCCTACCGAGTTCATTTACTTAATTAGAACAATGTCCTATAGCATCAATCTATATAATTAGACCAATGCCCTAAAGCATCAATCTACTTAATTAGACCGATGTCCTACAACATCCGCCCATACTTAATTAGACCAATGCCCTTATAGCATCAATCTACTTAATTAAACCAATGCCCTATAGNTCTTGTGATCACATGACATCTTATCAAATCATTTTTATTGGACTAGTTGATGTTGTAATAATATTTTTTTTAGTAAGTTGAAAGCACAATCCAATGTTTTGGAGACCAATGTGTTACATGATGTATCAACTTAAACATACCTTAATTAGACCAATGTCCTACCGAGTTCATTTACTTAATTAGAACAATGTCCTATAGCATCAATCTATATAATTAGACCAATGCCCCAAAGCATCAATCTATATAATTAGACCAATGTCCTACCGAGTTCATTTACTTAATTAGAACAATGCCCTATAGCATCAATCTATATAATTAGACCAATGCCCTAAAGCATCAATCTATATAATTAGACCAATGTCCTAAAGCATCAATCTATATAATTAGACCAATGTCCTAAAGCATCAATCTATATAATTAGACCAATGCCCTATAGCATCAATCTATATAATTAGACCAATGCCCTAAAGCATCAATCTATATAATTAGACCAATGCCCTATAGCATCAATCTATATAATTAGACCAATGCCCTATAGCATCAATCTATATAATTAGACCAATGCCCTATAGCATCAATCTATATAATTAGACCAATGCCCTAAAGCATCAATCTATATAATTAGACCAATGTCCTAAAGCATCAATCTATATAATTAGACCAATGTCCTAAAGCATCAATCTATATAATTAGACCAATGCCCTATAGCATCAATCTATATAATTAGACCAATGCCCTAAAGCATCAATCTATATAATTAGACCAATGCCCTATAGCATCAATCTATATAATTAGACCAATGCCCTATAGCATCAATCTATATAATTAGACCAATGCCCTATAGCATCAATCTATATAATTAGACCAATGCCCTAAAGCATCAATCTATATAATTAGACCAATGTCCTAAAGCATCAATCTATATAATTAGACCAATGTCCTAAAGCATCAATCTATATAATTAGACCAATGCCCTATAGCATCAATCTATATAATTAGACCAATGTCCTAAAGCATCAATCTACTTAATTAGACCAATGTCCTAAAGCATCAATCTACTTAATTAGACCGATGTCCTACAACATCCGCCCATACTTAATTAGACCAATGCCCTTATAGCATCAATCTACTTAATTAGACCAATGCCCTAAAGCATCAATCTACTTAATTAGACCAATGCCCTAAAGCATCAATATACTTAATTAGACCAATGTCCTACAACATCCGCCCATACTTAATTAGACCAATGCCCTTATAGCATCAATCTACTTAATTAAACCAATGCCCTATAGCATCAATCTACTTAATTAGACCAATGCCCTTATAGCATCAATCTACTTAATTAGACCAATGCCCTAAAGCATCAATCTACTTAATTAGACCAATGCCCTAAAGCATCAATATACTTAATTAGACCAATGTCCTACAACATCCGCCCATACTTAATTAGACCAATGCCCCTATAGCATCAATCTACTTAATTAAACCAATGTCCTACCGAGTTCATTTACTTAATTAGAACAATGCCCTTATAGCATCAATCTACTTAATTAGACCAATGCCCTAAAGCATCAATCTACTTAATTAGACCGATGTCCTACAACATCCGCCCATACTTAATTAGACCAATGCCCTTATAGCATCAATCTACTTAATTAAACCAATGCCCTATAGCATCAATCTACTTAATTAAACCAATGCCCTATAGCATCAATCTACTTAATTAGACCAATGCCCTAAAGCATCAATATACTTAATTAGACCAATGTCCTACCGAGTTCATTTACTTAATTAGAACAATGTCCTATAGCATCAATCTATATAATTAGACCAATGCCCTATAGCATCAATCTACTTAATTAGACCGATGTCCTACAACATCCGCCCATACTTAATTAGACCAATGCCCTTATAGCATCAATCTACTTAATTAAACCAATGCCCTATAGCATCAATCTACTTAATTAGACCAATGCCCTAAAGCATCAATATACTTAATTAGACCAATGTCCTACAACATCAACCCATACTTAATTAGACCAGTGCCCTATAGCATCAATCTACTTAATTAGACCAATGCCCTATAGCATCAATCTACTTAATTAGACCAATGTCCTATAGCATCAATCTACTTAATAAGACCAATGCCCTATAGCATCAATCTACTTAATTAGACCAATGTCCTATAGCATCAATCTACTTAATTAGACCAATGCCCTATAGCATCAATCTACTTAATTAGACCAATGTCATATAGCATCAATCTACTTCATTAGACCAATGTCATATAGCATCAATCTACTTCATTAGACCGATGTCCTACAACATCCGCCCATACTTAATTAGACCAATGCCCTTATAGCATCAATCTACTTAATTAAACCAATGCCCTATAGCATCAATCTACTTAATTAGACCAGTGCCCTATAGCATCAATCTACTTAATTAGACCAATGTCCTATAGCATCAATCTACTTAATTAGACCAATGTTCTATAGCATCAATCTATTTAATAAGACCAATGCCCTATAGCATCAATCTACTTAATTAGACCAATGTCCTATAGCATCAATCTACTTAATTAGACCAATGCCCTATAGCATCAATCTACTTAATTAGACCAATGTCATATAGCATCAATCTACTTCATTAGACCAATGCCCTATAGCATCAATATACTTAATTAGACCAATGTCCTACAACATCCACCCATACTTAATTAGACCAATGTCCTATAGCATCAATCGCACTTAGATGGGAAGTAGTATATGTCGGCAGCAAAAGAAATGTGACTGACGGTAAGTGAGTGAGTTTAAATAGGGAAGAGCGAAAAAAGAGGAGAAAAAAGTTCACTATGATAGGTCAGAACGTGGAGGGCGGAGCTAGGGTCAAGTTGTGAACAGAGACATAACATTAATTACATGTGGCGTCAAAGTGCCGTAAGTCAGGATAAGCTTGTGTTCCAAATTGACCCGACTGGCGGTGTTCGTGCTAACCACAATCGCACTTATAGAAAAGTCCGCCTTGTCCTGTCTGATTTCTAATTTAACTACAGTTACTAAAGCACTGGCCTTTTGGGCAACCTGACTGTCTTTTGCTGCGCTTCTTGTGTCCCTTGATATATTTCCAAATGTGGCCCATCTTTGATGATAACTTACAAAGTAAACAACACAAAATTATATATGTAATTCTGTATTTTTTATAGTCCTGGCAATATGAGAAATTTCACAGAAAGATTCAACATTCCTATTCTAAGTTAATTGTGGTAACTACATCAAGAGAAACATGAAGTTTGGGCCAGAAGAAGCAGAGTGTGGGGCTGAGCGAGCAGAGGTTGGGGCAGAGTGAGGGGCATAGGGAGCACAGTGTGGGGCACAGCCAGCAGAGTGTGGGTAGAGGGAGTAGCGTGTGGGGCACAGCCAGCAGAGGGAGGGGCATAGGGAGCAGAGTATGGGGCACAGCCAGCAGAGTGTGGGGTAGAGGGAGTAGAGTGTGGGGCACAGCCAGCAGAGGGAGGGGCATAGGGAGCAGAGTGTGGGGCAGAGCAAGCAGAGTGTGGGGTAGAGGGAGTAGAGTGTGGGTCAGAGGGAGTAGAGTGTGGGGCACAGCCAGTAGAGTGTGGGTTAGAGGGAGTAGAGTGTGGGGCAGAGCCAGCAGAGTGTGGGGTAGAGGGAGTAGAATGTGGGGTAGAGGGAGTAGAGTGTGGGTCATAGGGAGTAGAGTGTGGGGTACAGCCAGCAGAGTGTGGGGTAGAGGGAGTAGAGTGTGGGGCAGAGCAAGCAGAGTGTGGGGCACAGCCAGCAGAGTGTGGGGCAGAGGGAGCAGAGAGTGGGGCACAGCCAGCAGAGTGTGGGGCACAGCCAGCAGAGTGTGGGGCACAGCCAGCAGAGTGTGGGGCAGAGGGAGCAGAGTGTGGGGCACAGCCAGCAGAGTGTGGGGCACAGCCAGCAGGGTGTGGGGCAGAGCCAGTAGAGTGTGGGGCAGAGGGAGCAGAGTGTGGGGCAGAGCAAGCAGAGTGTGGGGCAGAGCAAGCAGAGTGTGGGGCAGAGGGAGCAGAGGGTGGGGCAGAGCGAGCAGAGTGTGGGGCAGAGCGAGCAGAGTGTGGGGAAGAGGGAGCAGAGTGTGGGGCAGAGGGAGCAGAGTGTGGGGCAGAGCAAGCAGAGTGTGGGGCAGAGGGAGCAGAGTGTGGGGCAGAGGGAGCAGAGTGTGGGGCAGAGCAAGCAGAGTGTGGGGCAGAGCAAGCAGAGTGTGGGGCAGAGCAAGCAGAGTGTGGGACAGAGGGAGCAGAGTGTGGGGCACAGCCAGCAGAGTGTGGGGCAGAGGGAGCAATGATATAATCAAAAAATGATTCCGTAACTTTTACAACTACTAAAACCATTGTAGACAATATAATTAAAATAACTGTTAAATAAATAAAAAGATCAATTTCTAGATAATCTTTATCTGTTATTTATTTAAATTTTGTATAT